CTGTAAAACAGACAAAACATAAGACTTTGTGGCCTCAAACTGCTGGCTTAAGTAGTCATTCTCTTTTTGAATAATCCAAGAGAATTCTAAATAGGGTGGCTACTAAGAGCATGAAGGTTCTCTCTTAACAAGAAGCAGCATGAAAAAGACAAATGGAGATGATATGAGTTTTGTAGGGAAGCATTTCATCTTTTTTATACTGAAAGCAACCTCTTCAGTGATTAGGTAGTCTCCATCTCTGAAGGTTTTCAAAACATATTGCAAGATAATCTTGTCTAGGTTCCATTTACAAAAAAAAATAAAAGGGATGGAATAGATGGTCCTTCATGGTCCCTTCCAACAGTTCTATATTTTTTTTTAAAAAGTATGTTTAAAAAAAAGGTAGAAGGAGAGAAAGAAAAAAAAAAAAGCTCCCTTAGAGGCATTTTCTTTTTCAGTAATATTTCCCAATTTTTTTAATCAAGATTTATTCTATCTTTAACCACTTTCTCACAATTAAAGTGATTTGAGCATCTGTTCTTTATTATTTTAGCTAAATGTGAAATTAGTTTGTAAAATCTTTCTTTATACTATATGCTTTATGTCTATACCTTTAAGTCATTGTTCGGTTTCCTCACTGTGAATTGTCTCTGAACCTTTTTGTTTTCTCACATTTAATTTCCAGCTGTTTTTCTGAGTGGTCAGTCTCCCTGCTTTTGTAGAAGGAGCTTGTACTTGGTATTCTAAGCCACCAGCTTTTTCCATCTACATCTTTTTTAATGGTCTGTGGCTGTGATTTCATTATGTCAAATAAAGGAAAAAAATGAGGTCAGGATTACCTGGATGACAGGTATAGGAATGTAGCAGAGGAGATGCATTGACCCATGTAGTTTGGATGTAATTTTTTTCTCAACTCTTGAGTCAAATGCAGAGGCATTTCTACATGTATGCATTTCCAGTATTAGGCAGCATAGGAAGAATTCTCTAATATCTCACACTAATATCTCCTATTTGCCAGCAAGACCTCTTTACTGCAATTATTCCATATATTATAGTTATTAATCATAATAACTTGAAATTTACTTGTGTAACAATGCCTTATAAAACAAGAACTTCAGTATATTGTTTCCTATTTTAATACACTATTAGAAATTTCTCTGTTGGGGGCTGGACTAGGTACTGAGAAACAGCCTGCAGATCTATAAGAAATTCAAGAAAGAATTTATTAATCTCCAAAGTATTGTAATTGTAAGAAAAGACATAGCATAAACTGTTAGAAATATATCTTTGTATGAATACAACTAAGTTGAAATAACCGGTACTGGATAAGGAAATTTAGAGTTCAGGTTTCAAGCGACCGCTATTTCCTTATTATCTTCATGCAATCTACTTTGGCAGTCATTTACCATGGTGAAATATCTTTGAAACTTCACACTTTATAGAGATTTCCTCAGTTTTAAAGCCTGAAGGGCTTTTAAATCATCTGATCTGATCGCCAGTATGATACAGGTTATTTCACTTCATTCACATATTTTTTTAGTGAATAAAATGTCTGCATTTCAGTCTTCAGAAATGAGTTGTATGCCATGTGAAGGAAATAAGAGAGACAGGAATAGGAATTCAGAATTATTTTGAAAAGTTAGAAAAAATATTGAAAAATTTTAAAATGAGTAATCAATTAAGTCAACTATGCATTTTCTATTTTGGTGACAATAGATAACTATAGAAAGTTGAGATATAGATAAACTGATTAGATGACAAAGCATAAAAAGCACTGGGAAATAAAAGATAATTACAGAACTGGTCTAAAATCTACACTAATACTGTTCTTCATAGAAAAACTACGTGGGAAACCACGTGGGATGAGTAAACAAAATGTCTTTATTCACTGCATTTATGGTTTCATTTGGAGAACTACACTTGCTTTTGAAAGAATTCTACACTTGTTGCTCTGTATCTTGGTATTGGCATTACTCACAACAAGCAGCAGGCTTCCTACTGACTCTAAAAAGTCCCAGGACAAAAACTACTGGTCTTGCTTTGCATGGATATGTGTAGGCCAGCCTGGCCCAGCCCTTTGTGTTCATCAGATTTACCAAAAAAAGCACTACTTTAATAATGAGACTGTTGCCTGAGTGGTTTTAGCTTCATTGTAGCTATATTGTGTGGTGGAATGTCTCTCAATTTTATTTTTTTTTTTTTTTTTTAGCAGTACCTAGTGGTAACATGTAGTTGTGTTGTGTGGAATCAACTATGTATGTCCATATACTAAAACTGTAATATTGAAGGGTGAAGCCTTAGGATGGCAAACAAAGCATTTTTTGCATTCTAAATCTTATTTTAGCCAAAAAAATCCACAGCATATGTAGGAAGTTAAGAAATTATTTTTGTCCTGATATTTAAATAACCTAATGAAGAAAAGTCATGTTAATAACCAAGTTAAAACTCTTGCACAACTTCCTTCCAGTGTTCTTTTGAATCCTAAGGATGGCAGGTTTGGTATTTGTTGAGAAGGTTTGCGTATTCGAAAACTTTTACAGGTCATGATACAATGAAAGCAGCATGCATACCATGTGTTCAGTTACATATAAAAACCCTCTCTGAAAATCAAGCAATGGAATCCTCTTTTACACCAGATTCTGGTCCAAAGGAAAAAAAAAAAAAATCATGGAAATAATTAATTCACAACATATGGCCCAGCAGTAGGGTAAATTTAACTTTTTAAAAGTAAGCAAGTTCACACACTGTGAATTGATCCTCTGTGGAGATGTGTGGCCAGAGATGCACCGGGCCTTCCTTTATTTAGCGCTATCAATAAATGATATTTTTTTTAATAGACGACTGTTGAGATTTCTTTTATCTCCTTTCTGGAAATCAGTGTTTTTCCAAGACAACAAGTTCTCAAGGAATTCATTAAATGAATTAAACATTTTTTGGTTTTGTTTTTTTTTTTCCCCTTGCATTATATAATGCATGTTTTCTACTGGGGAAAAAATAGGCTGAAAAATCGTTGTACTAACCCAAGAGATTGCACCTGAATATTATAATCCCTTTGGTTCAAAATCATATATGTTGTGATTATGACAAATTATGAAAAAGCTAAGGGCAATAAACACAGCCTTATGGGCAGGGATAAAAAGAACACTTATAAAATTATATATGCCAAGTGAAGAAAAAGCCTGTTAGTGTCAAATTTGGGCAGTCCTCCCCATCTGGAAACAAGGGGTTTGAAATACATAGCCTGATTTTTTTCCTGGAACCTACCTTTATTTCTGATTTTTCTTTGGTAGCTGCAAATCAGTTATTTTATCAAAGAAAAACATCTGCCTAAACAGCCTATGGCTCCCTGGGCCTTTTCTGCATTGTAATTGAAATATTGCTACTGTTTTAATCCTCTGAGGCTTTAAAAAAGTCTCCAGTTTCTTTCTGAGTTATTGGAAGATAAAATTAGTGGTTTGGAGATAATTCAACTCTTCAGTTCATCATAAGAAATTTATAGATCAGATGGTAAAACCAATTGTGTTACTATCACAGTAATTTTCTACTTCCTTTAAGAGTCTTGGGCATGAGTTGTCTAGATCTGTCAATTTCTCTATCTATGCCTAGTTAATTTTAGCAGATGCTGTTTCATATGTTCTGTTAGTACAGATGGTGAAATTTTTATTTCATGTAAGGGAGAAATTTTTTTTTCTTTTATTTCTACTTTTTTTTTTTTATTTCTTCAGACAAGAGAGCTGAAACAGATTAAAGGAAATTTTCATGTAAGTTTTTATCCTAGTAGAGGTTCTACACACAAAAAATGTAGATACCAATTGTCATAGCAGAAGGTTTTTACTTTCTAGGAAAACTGGAGGAAATGTTTTAGTGTTGGTTTGGGTTTTTTGTTTGTTTGTTTATTTTTGTGGATTTTGTTTTGCTTTGGTGTTTGTATTTTGTTGTGTTTGGTTTTGTTTTATTTTTTAATTTCTTTGTTTTTGGCTTGGTTTTTTGTTTGTTTTTTTGTTTCATTATTTGGTTTGCGGTTTGCTTGAGTTTTTATGCTTTTTGTTGTTTCGGGTTTCTTTTGTTTGATGCTTCTAGCAGATGATGTATTTATTATTATTGCCATAATTCATCAGTATTCAATAAAAACAAAGATAAGGTTGAATGAACTGATTTACAGTTTTTGACCCATCTGATATTTATGTCCAATGAAACTGAAAACAAACACAAAGAAAAGTAATTTCAGCCACACTTTGATATTTGGGTTAAACATCCTACTGAATAAAAAAAAATAGAAAAATCTGACCAATGAAATACTTGAGGTTTTCTTTGCTTTTTTCTCCACCTTCCCTTATAATAATGTAAAACTAAGCCTAATATAAAATTTGATCGTATCTATCTGCCACTGACACATATTAAAAATCAATTTGTGCAGACTTCTGCTCACCTCCTCCTGCAGTGCTTAACTTACTGACCTCCCTGCCTGTGCAAACATCCCTTAGGCAATGCTGCCATCTCTGCCTGCCCAAGGCTTGTAGAAAGGCAGCAAACACTCCATGGTCTGTGCTGGATGGCTGTGTCCTCCTTGCAGAATTAAATGGGAGTTCAAGAGGTGTCTGGTGTGCTGGGGTAGCTGCTTCCGCTGCTGCTGGGATCTGTGCCCTGTGGCACACCACTGCCAGCGTTGAGCCGTCCCACATTCAACACAGTTTTTGGAAACCTTCCACCTTAACTGCTGCACAAATTGCTACCTCTGTTTGCTGTGCTCCCATCTGGCTTTGCTTTCCCTGGTGCCAGCTGAGGAGGTACTTGACAATTCCCAACTCTAAATTAAGGATTTTAATATGGCTGAAGATAGCAGATGTAAGCACCTTTCAGTACGAATAACTCCCAGGGGCTTTTAGAAACTGCTCGAGCTTCTAGGAATAAACACGTCTCTTAGCTAACTGTGTGGGTAGCAGCAGCACCCTTTGGGCAGGAGAGCCCAAAAATCACTTCATTAATTTCTGTATCCCTTATCTGCTTCCATTTGCACTGACCTTCCCTGGAGTGTCCTAGTCTACTCACTGAGTCCATCTCCATTTCAGAATCTTCCATCTTTATGTCTGTCTGATGCTGTTGAAGAATGGGACATATTTATCAGTAAACATGAACACAAGATATGTGCCTACTCCATGTCTGCTGTTTGCTTCCTCTTGGCACTTGCTTTAGCTCATGTGCAGTGTGCTGCAGTTTGTGCCAGTACTTATTTTACTAGTACCAATGAAGTGGAGTCAATGTAGTTGAAAATGCTCATTAATGCTAATGGAATCAAAGCATCCAAAACCATTCTGACAACAATTCTGACAGATATGGGAAACATACATGCAGGCTCTGAGGCAACCCAGGAGGGACTAATATAACTTATTTGTAGTGTGGTGACCACCATTTTCTTAATTTAAAGTGAAGGATTTACAGATTCTACAATCATCAAAACATACGATAATTTATTAGTAGTAATTTATTACAATTTAAAGGTTTAAGTAAAAAATGCCACATGAAATTCATACTTCTATTTTATTTTTTCTTTTTGATCAATTAGGACAAAGAAAATACTATTCCAGAAAATACTTTCTTTCCATTTTTACATTATAAACTATCTTTTTTTTTGTTAAATATAAAAGTTATGATGATGATGAAAAGAAATATTGTATTTATCTTAACAGGGCAAGGTTCCTGAAGACCAAAAATTAACAAAAAACTTCAACTTTGTTTAAAACTCTAAACTTCACATAAATGTCATACTTTTGAATAAGATTTTTATCAGCTCCAAAGCACTACAGAATTTGATGTTTGCTGCTATTTCAACTCACAATGCCAGGATGTGGCTGGGACATTTCATATGTAGATATATGAATTTAATTGAAAACAGTTTTTCTTCTTGATTTCTTTGTTTTCACAGAAAAGAAACCAGTTTGTATGTCAGGAATTTCCTTACAATTAAAGCTTTCTTGTATAAATATACTTTATGTATACTGTATGTCTAGGTGGAGAAAAAATACCAAAAAAAACAACCACAAAAAACATGTCTGTTTGAAAGTGTGAGAAGTGTTTAGTAGAATAGGGTAGATTTGAAGAATTACTAGATTTTATTGGTGCATAGGAGCAAGCACCATGTTTTCAAGAAAATTTATTTCTTCTCCTTTAAAGGTATATAGTTGTTCATAAGAAGTACCTTGCCTGAAGGGCACAGATCGAGTGGCTATATACCAAGCTACTAATTTTCAGAATGATGGGCACTGACATTTATTCAGTGAAAGCAGCTGCTCACAATTTACCTAAAAACAACTTTATTCCTTGATCTATTTTTTAGTCTCAGTTCCCTCAGCCATGTATTGGTCACAGATTTTACTTCAGAGTTATAAGAAACAAGGCAATGACCGAGTTTTGCCAAGATTAGCAGTTATTTAAAATAAAAGTCTTACAAAATTTTATTTTGAAATAACCATATTTATGTTTATATGGTTATTTTGAAATAACCACATTGACACATTTTGTATTTTTTATTTGTATTTTAAAATTAGAAATGCTTTTTTTGAATACCCTATGTTCCATATACTGAACCTGCCTAGTCAAGAAAAAATGCTTTGGATTAATTTTCCTGAACTCTGTCAAGCTCTTCTGTAACCACTTCCCTGGGGAACCCATTTCAGTGCCCAAGAACCCTCTGGATGAAGAATCTTTTTCTAACATCCAGCCTAAACCTCTCCTGACACAGCTCCAGGCCATTCCCTTGGGTTCTGTCGTTGGTCACCACATGACTTTCCTCTCCAGGCTGAGCAGACCAAGTGACCTTAGTCACTCCTCATGCAGCTTCCCCTCCAGACCCTTCATCATCCTTGTGCCCTCCTTTGGATGGTGTCTAACAACTTAATGTATTTCTTGTGCTGTGGTGAATTTGAAGGAAAGTATATTCAATAGCTCAACATGAATAAAAGTTTCTAAACCATTCTGAATATGTATGGGATGTAAGAAATTAGTGGTGCTTCATTATTTTACACCAGATGAGTACTTAGTTCTTATGTATCAACCTCTACAGTGTGAAAATTTCACTTTGTTTTTAAAAAAATATGCATGCATTTTTATGGAATTAGCTTACTATTGTTGTATAGCTGCCTCTGAAAACATCCAGTGTACTTTCTAACATTCACGTGCCCAATTTAAAGCTTATTTGAAGCCACAGACATTTTAGACATACAGATAGACACATATGCACGAACTTTCTATATGATAAGAAAAGTTTTTCTTTGCCATATTAAGAGTAGATGAATAATTTTCTTTTATTTTTTGAACAGGATTCTGATGAGTTTCAATTTCCCCATGAATAGTAGAGGAGACCTGTATAGGAGGCCTGCTAAGCTCTGAGTCAAACAAAGAAATATAATACACCTAAGCAAGATACACACCAATAGTGGGCAATTAAGCACTGAAAGATTGAAATAATTTTGTTTCGGAAGGACTTGTGGGAATTTCTGTTTTCTTGCCTTTTTGCCCTATTAAAGATGTTTACTACTTCACAGCACTAGTAAAATTATTTCTTGTAGAAGGAAAAGCACTACAAGAAGAAGTTTGAATCCTTATGTTCTTGACTTTCTAAATAGTTCTTTTGAATTTTTCATGTGCTGCGATTTCTTCTGCAATTATAATAACATTAAAAAAGCTATTTTGTATGAATTACAAGCAGATTCCTTTTCAAACACTAGAAAATGCAAGCTATTTTAATGTGTAAACAAGAGTCTGAAACACACTGAATGATTTTCCAACTGTATCTAACAAGGTTTTCATAGTGATAATCTTCCTGGTGACTCTTTATTTTCATAAAAAACATTTCTTCAGGAATAACTGACATTATAATAAGCACTTGAAAAAGCCATTATAAGTATGGTTAGCTATACTGATATTACCTATATATTAAAAGAACAACATTAAATTACTTTAAGCATTCAGTTAAATAAATGCTTTAAACTATGTAAACCTTTCTAATGTTTTATTTCTGTAGGCTCCATTCAACTGACATCTTAGTCCCCCTGTTTTCCAACATGACATAATTTTGTATACACTGAATTTCATAAAACTGTCATCCCTAGACATACATTCTAATTCTCCTACTGTTTGCAAAAGCAGTGCTTTTTCACTCCTCTCATTTGAAGAGGATGACTTAATCACCAAGCAGTGATGTATTCTGATTTTTTTGCCCATCACCTTTTCCTTTGAAGCTGAGCCACTGAATATACAAGTAGGAGTGTTCATATCAAATCACAGAAAAAGAGACCTTGATTCTCATCTAGTGATTAGGGCACTTGAAATTGAAGCTCATTCATTTAAAGCAGGTGTCCAAGTCACATTTATCTCCCACTGTAGGGGCTATTTTTAACAGTGATTCATTTATCCAAGGACATTTTGTTCTTCTATTCACATAATGGAAAATGTTACAAATGTCAGTCATCTAGTCAGAATGGTTCAGCTTCATGGTAGTCTCATGATATTGAAAGGTCAAAACATTAAAAATACTGGTATGTGTGTCTCCCTTGGTTCTTCATGGAGGTTATCCTTTCATTGCAAATGTAGCTATTCCATCTACAAAATTCCTTGGAAGTTACTATTTTTTCCTAAAGAACAAGACTGACACATATGACACCTAAGGGCACCCTGCATTAGAAAAGGTAACAGTCCCTACCAGTGACTGCTGAAACACAAGCTTATATTTCTAGCACAGCAAACACAGGTCATTGCTCCTGTCTCCATTATCAACAGCATGAGATAAAGGAGTTGATCACAAGCAGAAAAGGCAATTGTAAAATATCCCATACTTCCACACTACTTGAAATGCAATCAGTCTTCCCCACCTCCTGGAAATACAAAAGTTTCTTAAATGGGTTGGCTGAACATTTCTTTCTTTTTTATAGATATTTGACACCTGGGTTCACTGGTCTGGTGAGTTTAGCATTTAAGAGCATATTATTGAGATATCTTTGTGGAATGAAAGCAGCAGCTTTGATAAGCAGTTTGAAGATAACACAAAGAATTCACACTGTATCAGGCAGAAACCAATGAATTTAAGCAAGTAGTATGGCTATGCATAATGTGCATAACCATGTATAAGTTTTTGTAGATCCAGTCCAAAATTACAGTATATAATGCTGGGGAAGGAAACATGTAACAGGAATGAGTCCTAATGTAAATGCATCAAATTTTCTGTTGGAAATGTGAGAGATGCAAAACAGCTTGATTGACTGAGCTTTCAAGAGTGGGAAAACTTACAAAAATAGCAATCATAGGAAAGTGGCATGGGGAGATCTACTATTAACTATTACATGGAATATTACCTTCCACACTGAAAAAGCAAAGAGATAATAGAATCATAAAATACCTTAGGTCCCTGTTAGAAGGGACCCATAAGTATCATTAAGACAATCTCCAAGAGGTTCACCATGTGCCTGAGAACACTGCCCAAAAGCTTCTTGAACATTTTTGAAGCTGGTCTGTGATCACTTGTCTGGAGAGCCTGTTCCGTTTTGCAAACACCCTCTGGGAGAAGAATCTTTTTCTAAAATCCAACCTAAACCTCCTCTGACACAGTTTCACATCATCTGGTCACCACAGGGAGGAGATCAGTGTCTGCCCCTCTTCATCCCCTCAGGTTTCCACTTAGTGTTTTCTTTTCTAGGCTGAGCAAAACAAGTGACCACTAGTAGCAAAAGGTATGTATGGAGCAGCCTCAACATAGAAAGAACTGCTTGTGTGTCCTCACCAACCCTAAAACAGCATACTTCAACCAAAGCTCATAATGTTTGCTACAGTATCTTCAGTGATGTCCCACATCTTCTTAAGATTCTAGCATTTTTAAACTTCTTTCTTCAGTTTGGGATGCTGCAAGAATTGTGATAGAGTCCCAAAATCCTGGTAGCTTTGTTTTTGTATTCTTTTACACATTTCTTAATAATTTAACGTTAATGATCTCCAGTCTACACCACCTTCTGCTCGCCCAGCTAACCCCCTTATTAGGCTAGATTTAGGTGCTCTCACACACTTCACTCACACCCCCTTGATTGACTATCCCATCCATA